TTTGTAAGTAGTATATAAAAATATAAATATATACATGCGTGTGCACGTGTGTGTGTGTGTGTGTGTGTGTGTGTGTGTGTTTCAAAATGAGTCCTCATCATCGAGTGGGCTAGGGAGTCGCACTCGACGGAGTGTTAAAGCAAAACTGAATCAAGTACCAGTTAGAATGGTACTTGAAGAGGACTCTGATTGGCAGGCAAAGTCTGCTGTGGTCTCACCAATTTCTGAAGTAGAATAGGTCCAGCTCGCTTCTTGCGCCTTTTGGCGCGCTCTCTTTCCCGACGTTCCAACGGCGTTAGGGTTCGCTTCTTACGGCGCCACCATCGGCGCTTTTTCTTTTTGCCGGTTTCTTCGTCTGGAATTTCCACCACTTGCTCTTCGTCGGGGACTGAGGAAGGTGAAAAAATAATGAAAGTTGAAACTGGTACTATACATTTTGTCACATGGCTTCTAATGGTAACAATAGCAGCATCTGTTTCAGCTGCGTCTCCCCACAGAAAATGAAGCTTCGTCTGAAAACTAGGCTTAATCACAACATCTCGAATCGTGCATGCCTCTAATCACATGACAGACAGAGCCCTTAAAGAAATACAGAACTTGATCAACCCACTGCCAATAAAATCCCTACTTTTATAATAAGTGGTCTATTCTCAAAAAAAGGGATAATGATAATATTTTCGTATTTGAGTAGAGTTTCGAAACTACGAGATGTACTCACCCTATTTCGTCTAAGATGAATACATCTCATATTACTGATTTACTAGTAGTCTCGAAACTCTACTGTAATACGAAAATAAGTAACGTAGTCGATTGCTATAGCAAATATACGGTTGCTTCATCGGCACTCCCACCAAAGAATATGATACAGCAAAAAGGCCTGGTCTTCCTTGAAAATTCACATTTGCTCTGTGACCCAAGAGCGCTCGTGGCAGTGTGGCCGTGTGGTTAGTGTGTCAAGCTCCCATCCTGCATTGTCGCGGTTCGACTCCCGCTGAGGGTGCTGATAGGACCGATGCGAGGTAGAAATTGCTGTCCACTTCAGCCGAGATGAGAACAACTTTTGTAAAAGCAAGGCTATGTGAAATTGAATGGAAACGACAGCTCAACTCATATGATTGTGGGAAAATTCTTTTTCTGCCAGTCCTTCATCACCTTAAACGAAATTGGGTGAATACATCTCATAATAATGATAATAAATTAAGACTGGTATGAATTGAGGTCTAGCTCGAGGGAAAACAATTTCCTCATCTCAGTATATGAAATTTGCAAAGACCTACTCGAATGTAATTTCATGTTCTATGCTAGCAAAGGTACCAATCGAAGTCCGCTATTTAGTTAGCGCTAACATGTATGTATTAATATGAGAGGTAATCACCCCATTTCGTTTAGGTGATGCAGGACGGTAGTAGAATTTTCCCACAATGCTATGAGTAGAGCTGACGTATTCATTGAATTGCACATAGCCTTGCTTTACCAAAAGTTGTTGTCATCCCGGCCGGAGTGGACTGCAGTGTCGACCTCGCATCGGTCTTATTAACACCTTCAACGGGAGTCGAACCGTGACAGTGCAAGATGGGTGAATGCATCCCATAATACTGATTTATTGGTAGTTATAAAACTAAATTAAGACCATC